AGGAGTATGAATTTTTGCATATCTAAAAATGAATTTTGCATATCTAAAAAACTCAAAACTTTTTCATACCGTTTATGTTGATTGCACTTTTAGGACTGTTAGATTTCTTTCTTGCATTTTATCACTTCAAACTAGACTTACTAATTTAATAAACTAGAAATTTATTAATTATTAATATGTTGACATTGTCCTCGTGGGATCGATACGTGGGATTGTTTCTATCTATTACTTGTTCGCACGTATAATTGCATGATTAATCGACTTGTTATGTAGTAATTTTGGGCTTCAAGTTTTTGTCACCATTGCCAATAATAGCGTCAAAATTTTCTAACCTTAGGATAAGATTAGTTGAAATACTCAGAGTCTAAATTTAAAATTTTTGTTATTTTTATTTTTTATTTCTGCTTTATTTTGCACTTGTGTTTTTGTATATAAAAAAATAAAAAAAATAAAAATCAGTTAAAAAAATGTTTCAACACTTCAGAACAACAACTCTTCAAGAAAAGTAATTTATACCATTTCAGGGGTATGCCAACCAGTTGAGGGCTACCTTTCACATGAATTTTGAAACCACAAAATACAAATAATTAGATGCAACATTAGTTAAAAAGAATAATATCAATATATAATTAAAATGTTATAGAGTTGTGAGGTCTCAAAGCATAAAGTATAAATAAATGTATAAAACACGATGTGATTGGTCCAAAATAAGTTTTAAAATAACATCATTATATCCAAACAATCATAAATGATCTATATAGATTATGTGTTGACTTAGGTTTTAATATAAAAGGAGGGGTAAAATATGACGACCTAATTTGATCGATTTATTATTTACAAGCATATAATCAACCATTACTATTTTGGAAGAGATGAACTGCGTCCGAATTATTCGGACTAGATCCGACACCACAAACCAGATCCGAATATATATACACGTGGACGGGCAGTCATCTTTGAAGAATTACAAATCAAACGGTTTACAGAGCACCACGATGGCAATCCTCACAGTCGCCATTCAACCAATCACAGCAACGCTCGCTGCTGTAATTTCAAACCGCATCCCATTGCAGACCTATTTATACGGTCCACCGCTATTCCTTCTCCAAAAGCGAAACCATTTAAGGCCGTGCTCTCCTCGTCGTTGTCGTTGATTTGGAGCTAGGGTTTGCCTTCAGATTCAAGCCGATATGAGCTCTACTGCATCTACTAAGGGAGGTCGCGGCAAGTCGAAGCCCGCAAAGGCCGTATCCAGATCTAATAAGGCCGGCTTGCAGTTTCCCGTCGGTAGGATTGCTCGCTTCCTCAAGGCTGGCAAGTACTCTGAACGCGTCGGAGCCGGCGCTCCCGTGTATCTTGCAGCCGTTCTCGAGTACCTTGCCGCTGAGGTTAGTGCACTAATCTATTTCTGTTTGTGCTTAGGGTTTCATTACTCTGTGATTTGTAACTGTAGATTGTGTTTCGTTTTTAATCTAGGTTCTTGAGTTGGCTGGGAATGCTGCGAGAGACAATAAGAAGAATAGGATTATGCCCAGGCACATTCAGCTTGCGGTGAGGAATGATGAGGAGCTCAGCAAGCTGTTGGGGGCCGTGACAATTGCTAATGGGGGTGTTCTGCCCAACATACACCAGAATTTACTGCCAAAGAAGCAAGGCAAGGGGAAGGCCGACATTGGTTCTGCCTCTCAAGAATTTTAAATTTTCCTGTGCGGTAGTGTAACTGGATTTTGGTTTTAGTGTTTAGTTCTTGTTGATATGGTTCCTCTGCAATGCATATCTTTTTCTATAGGCTTATTTTAGCCTAATCTTTGGTTGATTTTCCAAATTTTCGTCTGTTTTTTTTTT